GTTAGTTCCACCAAGTCTCTAAACTCAGTTGAGTCAAACTTCTTTCGAAGCCTAAACTCGAGACCATTTTGAGCTAGCCTCACAAATTCAGGCTCTGGTAAGATGATCTTACATTTGTTTCGTGCTCTTTTGAATCTGGCAATAAACTGAGTAGCCTTCTCATCAGGCCTTTGACTCAATCTTGCCAAGTCTGTCATGGACAATTCTGGCTCTGTTTGGAAGAATTAGGCATGAAATGCCTCATCCATTTGTTGTCAAGTTTGGATAGAGCCATGTGTAAGGTTAATATACCATACAAAGGCTCCCCCAGTTAGAGAATTTGGGAATAATCTTAACTTCATATAGTCATCATTGGTAAATTCACCGAATTGAGCTACAAACCTAGCAATATGTTCAACCGTTGACTGGTTTCCATGTAATGAGGCATTTTGATTTGCCACAGGCCTCGAAAGAGGCTTATACCAAGACTAAGGTGATGGTCTTTCATTATTTTGGTTACTAGTTTGACCATTAGTATATCCATTACTCTACATAGGCTGTTTATCTCTAGCCAATCTTTGCTGAGAGACATTTGAATTTTCCTCTATATGTCTTGCGTGAGTTGGTTTATGAGTGTTCATTCGATCCAAAAAGGATGTTGCCCATCTTTCCATTGTGTTAATTAACTGCTGTCCCATAGCATTTACTAGGTCCCCCCATGGGTTCATTGGCTGAGTAGATGGAACAGTAGATGGTCCAATTCCTTGGCCTCGTCCAATATTATAAACATGTGGTACTTGTTCCGAAGTGCTGGTCAGTTCGACCATAAGTTCCGATAAAATAGGCGTTTCCACAGGATGTGTTATCACATTATCCTCTAGATTAGGCATTTCTATCTGTCCTTCCATGCCTTCTTCCAAACGTTCATTTTCTCCCTGTTTCATACGTCTAGCCATTTCAATTAGTCTCACTGGGCGTGCCAAAAATATATGTTTGCTTTTTTGGCTTTCGAAGGTTATTTTTGTAATTATGAGCGTGCCAGTAAGGATCAATCAGTCCTTACAGAATATTAATTGCCAACCAATTATCAGACGATTGTGTTTTAGTTCTTTCAGCCTCAATAAAGAAGACTTTTACTAGTGGCTTTGTTTAGGAGAATTAAGCAAACAATGATTAAATGAAGAACAATTGTAGTATTTCATTAAGCAAAATGACAAACTTACAAAGTTCCAAATCAGCCTCGTAGAGGTTTACAGCAACAAGCTACTTGAAAACTACTCCTTTGAACGAAATGCAGTGTAGGAATTTGAAGTACAGAAATGTAAAGAACAAGAAACGTAAAAACTGGAAAGGAAATAAAGTAGAATAAAATTGATTTTTTGAATCTGAGTCTGGGGAGATTTTCTGGGCCTTCTCTGCTATTTATACTTCTCAGTGACAACCATCGAACTGTACTTCTAACTGTCGAACCACCCTCCATGATCGCTGATCATGTTGCCATATAGTTAGCTCCACTATGCCAATACCTGCAGTTAGGCTTCCCTCCTGATTTTGAATTTAAATGTGAGTAACCGTTAAGGCCACGTCATCTTGCATCTCTTTGTTGATTCAGTATTACGCAGATCTATAACAAACCAATGTTGACTGCCACGTGTGTGATTATGATTGAAGATTTGAATTGTCTTTCTGTACTGCCCTTATTCTGCCACGTGCCGAACTATGATTGGCTTGTACAAAATATGTAGCCAACACATTCACAATGATGTAATAAAGATGATGGGTTCTATATAATTAAGTGTATGACCAATCAAAAACTGACACTTGTTAGAATATATTATTGTTGATTAAATTGTGGAAAAATTTTTAAGGTCTGAAAAAAATGTATATATATATATTTTATTTTTATATAACTTTTCCACTCAAATAAGCATTACGTGATCTCAAAAAGGAGAATGAAAATTGAGGATTCAATGAGTTGTTCAAAGGGCACAGTGACCTACATGAATGATAAAAGTTATGTTGGAAACTAAATAACCTATTAAATTTTATATCAAACATCTTATATGGATGTGAGATTTATACATATGTGGGTTTGTGTGTATCACACACTCATGTAAGAGTTTTAATGAAAAATTTAATAAATTATTTAATATTCATAACATTTTCCACGATAAAGTGGTTGTTAATACCAACGGAGCACTGTAATAAAATAAAAAAAATAAAAATCAAATTTAATAATGTTGAAGTTATTTAAAAAATGATTTTTTTTAAGAGAGGAGAATATAATGTGGGACCCACACAAAAATAACTTTGGTATTTGTCATTTTTGCAATAATTATTTTGGAATTGACCCAAGCGTTTACCCATTTCTTAAGCTTCGTTTGGGAAGAAATTATTTAACTAATTTTTTTATTTTTTATGAAAAGATGTATAAAAAAATAGAGAGAGTGATGTGATAACTTATTTTTAATTTTTTAACTAAAATTGAAGATTGCCAAACGAGACCTTTTGGCTTTCACATTGCCTGTCTATTTGATCCAAGAATTATATGACCATACATGCTACATCATTATGGATCCTTTCTAAAATCACGTTTTCTACTAATCCAAGAATCGTATGGTCATACATGCTGCATCATCATAGATCATTTTTGAAATTATGTTTTCTACTTACCCACCAAATTTCACACAATTCCGAGCCTGCCCAGTTTTTGAAGGAAAAAAAAGTCTCATTTTGTTATTATAATAAGCTGTTATAGGAAAATTATCCTGTCACTTCCACTAAAAAATGAAAATATGATTACTAATTTTTTAATATTTAAGCAACACACGGAAGCCTCAATTTTATAAGCCAAATTGAACCCTAACTAGATTAATTCAAGCTTGGCAATCCAAAAATAATTCATTTTTTTTATTTTTTTATCTTTTTTTCATCATATCATCTCTCTACTTTTCTGCATATTTTTTCATAAAAAAACAAAAAGTACACTTATTTAGGTCATCTCAAACAACTCCTATGATTACAGTGCATGAGCTAGGATGGAAAAATAAAAATGCTATTTTATTGTTTTATATCCCTTCTTAGATGAATATTTATAATTATTTTTTTAATTATAAATATTTTGGTCATCCCAAACAACGTCTAACTATATCTATTTTTATTAATATTTTTTTTATTGAAATGAGGATTACAGTGCATGAGCTAGGATGGAAAAATAAAAATGCTATTTTATTGGTTTATATCCCTTCTTACAGTAATATTTATAATTACTTTTTTTAATTTAAAGATAATTATTAAAAAATTAAAACAAATAATATATAGCTATCATCGAGAAAAAATCCCCATAGTGAACCCACCACAAAGTCATAAGCTGCAAAGTTTGGTGTTTTTTTCATGAACCAAATTGAACTCACCATCCTAACTAGATTGCTTATCCATAGTGAACATTTTTTGCTGCATTAAATATTTAAGAATGATGAAAAGAAAATTTTGTTCGGATTTAAGTTGTGTTTGGATTAACAATTTGAGTAGGAAGTTGTAGAAGAAAAAGAAAAGAAAAAAGAACAAAAAAAAAAAATAAATTATTTTCCTTTCACAAATCTCCTTACAAATTCGTAATTCAAACACATCTTTAATGTCTATACATTAATCCAGAGAACAAAAGTAACCATGTTTAAATCATGACATTCAAATTAAATGTTGTTTTGATGAATCAAGGAATTTATTTTAAAAATTTTGAGGGTTCATCAAGAAGTTTATGGTTTGTTGGTCAATGTGCAATATCTAGTTGGTTCAAGAAAGGATGCACATTTAAATAATCGAAGGGAGTTGGTATTATAATCCCATTATGTGATTTTGTAGTATACATTTTGTGATATATATTAGGTATATTTATAAAAAAATGTTTTATATTTTGTTTTTATCAAAATATTTTTTAATCACAAAATGTATAATATTACTACGCGACCCCAAAAAAAATATATATATATAACAAAGTGAAATATGATGGCATAACATTTTCCAAAGTTATTTAGTGCTTCTTAGACAAGTATATGGGAGATTTAGGGGTTGTTTGGAATGACCTAAATAAGTGTACTTTTTATCTTTTTACGAAAAGATGTACAGAAATGTAGAAACATGATGTGATGAAAAAAAGATAAAAAGATAGATTATTTTAGAGTTGCCAAACTTGGCCTTAATTTGATTTTTATTGATTCAAATGATGAGATTTATTACTTATATATATATATATATATATATATAAGACAATAGGACAAGTACTCCAAAATCATCAAGTAACTTCTTAATGTCAAATTTTGTTTTAGGCCTATGTTGTGACAACTTTATTACAAAAAGACACGTCATAAATAGAGAACGAGTTAATGCTAAATAGTCACACATATTGATAAATCTAGATAAAATTATGAGTAAAATTTCTGAGTTTACTCCCAAGGGTGTGAGCAAAAAAGTCCAAATTTTTTTAAATATTTCTGGAACAGCCTGAAAACTTAAGCGATACTTAAACTATTGCAATTTATATTTTAAAAAAGGGTATAACATTACTCAAACTATTGCAATTTGTATTTCGAAAAAAAAAAAGAAGAGAAAAAAGGAAGGTATATATCAGACAAGATTGATAAGGTTGCTTGGGACTACAATTCTTATTGATTCAGAAATATCATAGTAGTGTGTTGAGTTTGTACATTAAAATTATTGAATAATTAGTATCACTCTTCAATCCAAACCTTGAAGCTTTCACTTGAAGAGCCTCGATATATCAATACAAATGTTGGAGAGGGGAGGGTGCATTTACTACCTGAATTACAGTTAGTGAATCCCCTCCATATGGATTAAATAAGTTAGAAAAAGAAAATTTAAGCACAAAATAATCATCAAATGCCTTGTTTTTTAAGATTTTTTAATCTGAATCATTATAAGAGTTATATAAAACATTTAAAGGCTTAGGCTCTTCTTTTGTCAGATAAATATGGTATACTCATTGAACCCTTCATCTATTTTTGTTACCATCAAAATCATGAAATCTTGGGATTAACAAAACTAATGGTTTACAAGAAACTAATGCTAAACAACATTGTTCAATATAAACATGATAAGATTGCTTAAAGAAATACATTCCAACAATAATTACTATTTCCTCCTTCGACTTTCAAGGATTTCCATTTGGCGGTAATGATAATATTCTTTCTGCATTGGAGACAAGCCACTTGTATCCATCATTATAATTCTCTCCTCCTCTTTCAATCGTTCCATTTGAAGCTTTTCTTGCTCAATACAAAGTCGCTTTTGCTCGATCTCGTGCTTAATATGATTTTGCTCTTGCTCTTGAAGACATGCTTGCTCAAGGATTTCCATTTCCTTCTCATTTACTTTTTTTTTCTCTTCCATTATCTTATTCAGTAACCCCACAAAATTTGAACTTGCACAGTTTTTGATCTGTTGTTTATTCAGTTGTTCCTTTTCAGCCTTCGTGCCTAGTGGTCTCTCCAATTCTACAAAGGTATCATGTGAGATATCATCTTCCCCTAGATGTATCGACTCTGGAGTAGAAGGGGAAGATGTTGAAGCTTTACTTCTTTTCGGTTTTTTCTTCTCACATTCCTCTAACCATTTTGGTTCGCACCTCAACACATTCCAACAATGTTCAAATTGAAATGAGGTTTTTTGGAATTCCTGGTACATAAGTCTCGCCTTATAAATCTGGAAAAAAAAATGAGTAAAAAATAATTAGTATGTCGAAACATAATGATAATTGCATCCAGTATAGATTTCAATATAATTAAATACCTTTTCTAGCTCAGTCACTCCACTTTGATGAGTTGATTCAATCTGGGCAAAGTACCCACAAAACTTATAGGTACCAAGTTGAATCGTTGACCACCGATTCATTAGAGAATTTTGATTACGGTTAGAATTAAAGGTCCTGTACTTGTGGAAATACTCCCAAATTCTACTCCAATATGTCTTGTGCTTTAGCTCATTTCCAAGCATTGCATCGAGGCTTGTATTGAGCCACGCCAATATAAGGAGATTGTCTTCTTCCATAGTGAAGTTGCTACCACGTTGTGATTTCTTAGCAGTAGGTTCGATTTGGGGTGAGAATTGAGATTCTTGGGCAGCCACTTGAGCATGTTCGTTGAAATGAGTAGAAGATTCCATCATAAATTCATCTGAAAGGTTGGATCCCCCTTGTAACAGATTGGTGTACACGTCTCCTTGTGTTTGCAAATCCATCCTTAAAGAAAAATATAAAGGAAAGTCAGAGAACAAGTTTTGATAAGCGCAAGTAATTCAGCAATTAACTATGTCTTCTTGTAGCAAACATCATTTCTAAATTTGCATTCAGTAGGTTTTAAAATGAGCATTTGCAGTAACTAGTTTCCAAGCAAATCTCAGTTAGTTTCACAAGCAACAAAATTACTCCAGTGCATTAGCATTCTGAACAACAGTGCATTAGCAAGATTATCCAAAAGCTTTGCTTATCCAAAACTTGTACAGGGCCATCTGTATAAAGCTTTGCCCTCAAATTGTACATAGCAGCATATTCATTGCAGCAATTTAACAAACACCATACAAGCAGCTAAAATCTCACTACCCAATCAAACCAAATTCCTAACTTCAGATATCGTCTAACGCCACTCAACAACCAAATCATGCCAAAAAAGTTTTAAGATCCTTGCTAAACAAAAATTGAGGCCAAATGTGGTGTTCAACACAATACTACGTGCTTCTTAGTAAAAAGAGAGATCATGTATCATTATCAATTGTCAAAAATGAAGAAGCACACTACAATACTCCCTTGGCTGTAGTGAGGGAATTGGAGGTCATCTAAAATAATACAAAACCAAGAGAGGTGGACAATTTATCTGTCCATCGAAAATGTTGGAAAATGGTTACAGACTTGACATGTCATTAAGGCCAGCATAACCGATAAGATGGTCTTAATCACAAAAGAAGTGAGTGGAGGAGAGTGAGTTGATGCCAAACCTGGAAAGAGGTAGGAGTTATTTTCGAACATCTCATACGAGGCATTTAGTTTCTTCATGAGAATCCTCCCTCTATCCTCCTCTCTCTCTATTCCCTTATGATTACCATAATGCTCTATATGTGATCATTTCTTGTCACTAATTGGCTCTGGAATCCTTTGTGTTGGATATTCTGAAGCTAGCTAGATTTATCACTTCCAAATTCTAATATCTTCTCATGTGATAATTTATGGCTAGTGGGATTCAATCGTCTCTACCTTTCACATAATCTAATTTCTTGCATTTTTTTTTTCTTTTCTCATGTTGTCCCACAAAAACAATGAGCCTTGACTGCCTCACACAACCATAATTTTAATGCTCAAGTTGTTTTAAATAAGAACTTGGTAGTAAGTACCCAATTTATTCTTCTTCTTTTTGGATGTTCAGCCATCAAAAGGAACTAATCGGGGGGAAAAAAAAAACCAAAAAAGCAAGAAGGCAAGAAAACAATCATGTGTGTGTTCGGTTATGCACCACGAGCATTAATTTCTTATGTTGATACCCAATGCATAACCACAAGGACTACCTGTAGCCTAAAAGGGAGAAACTGACCTAGGGTAAGAGGTTCATCAAAGAGTGGCAAAACACGCTAGACACTGAAGGTCTAGAGGATGACTATGGAGAGATGTAGTCTATCCAAGAGAGAGAGAGAAGTACTAGAGATTCAAATACAGAACTTGGGAAGACCTCTTAGAAGATGATATATCGAAGACTTACAATGTAAATGAGTACTTCCAGTGGTTTATAGAAGGTCAGTCGATGAATATTTAAATTATATAGTCTGTTATTGTTTTTATCATTAATGCACTTTTTTCATATTAATTCTCTCAATTTATGTTCAATTGTGAATTTAATGGATTAATTTTACTTTTGTAGACAAACTTGACATTGTAGAGCAAAAGGTGAAGAAAAGGTTTTCATTACATTCTATAGGTGGGCCCAGCTGCAGGTAGTATCAAATGAAAGTTTATGTAGTGAATGAAATATCAATGAACAAGCTCCACCACCTAAAATGGATTGAGGCAAAGAAGCTAGGAAATTGTGCGAGTGTACAGTGAATGACAAAGTTATAGGAAGCTAGAGGTGGGCTCTCCTTTGGCACAATGAGCTGCACTAAATTAGACAATTAATTGAATTTTGTTACATGTCAGCATGAATGACCAAAGAAAAAAAAAGCATCAAACAGCAAGGAAGCAGCAGCTCCAGCGCACACAGTATCCCCGAAAGTCGTGTATAGTTTAATTACTTGTGTTTTAAGTTAGAAGTTTCCTTTTCTTATTAGGCTAGATTTTAGTGTTTCTCTTTAATTATATAAAATATTTGTAAAGACCTAATATTGGGGACCTTCATTCTACATTGTTTCCAATCTGAGACGGAACTACGTGTAGAGGCCACACCCTTCTTGCTTGTACAAGGTATTGTGTACCAGATACTCTTCTTATCTGGCCCCCCCTCCCACTTAGTGCTTGCTCATGTTTCTGAACTTCTTTTCTTTCTTTTTTTTTCTTTTGATAAATAAATAAGATTTTATTAAAAAAGTATCAAGATGATACAAAGATTACAAAGCATCGAGAAATGCAACTAAAAGCTCCTAACCAATAACACCATCCAAAATATCTAAGAAGACAAATAAATCCGGATCCACCCTTCTCTCCAACCAACTATACAAGGTAACGAGCAATCTATTTTCAAGCCACACCACTGAATGAGAACTCTCTTGAAACGTACAACGATTCCGCTCTAACCAACCCAGCCACATCAAACAAAAAGGCACCGCTGCCCAACCCAAGCCCCTTGCCAACTCCACAACATCTCTAGCACCCCCTTAGGCTGCACCCAAACGATCCCGAACAGAGAGCAAACCACTACGAAACAATGAAGAAACAAATGGTCTACCAACTCTGCATCAGCACAGCACATGCAACATTGGTTTTCTAACTATTGTTTCTTTTGTAGTTCTCCAAGAGTGTATTTCATGTCCAACTCTTAGTTGCACAAAGCGGGGGCGGGGGCGGAGAAGTTTCTTACAACACCTTCACCTCACACAACTCCAAGCCTTGATTCTCTAGTTGATATAATCATCTAGAAAAGAAATTGAAAGTGGGAAACATTGAAACGATGACATGGCAACTTGTCCAAAGCATTAAAGATCATCATGATCCAACTAATGCAATATTGCATCGATAAAAAGGAAATATCACACCATAAATCAAAAGAATAAGATTAATCAAGATGAATGTCTAAACAGAAGTACTTACTTGACATCTAGCTTTACAGGTGCATGTGCACGTAGATTAGCATCTTCGTCATCGAAGAATCCTTCAGGGAGAGCTCCCTTCGCTTGCTTGGTTTCTGAACCAACAATAATTTTTGATATCTGTGTACACTCCCTGTCAGGCAGAATTTCATTCGTTTTTCCCTCTACAACCTTGGCACCGGAAAGTGTATCTATCTTACTCTCTGAGTTGAATGGTTCTGCCACTTGAGTTTGAGCAGAACCACCTGGCTTATTGTATGAATTAGGATTCCCCAATTTGGCCACATTCATACCTAGAAACACCATTAAGTTAAATAATACCCCAAAAACATTATTCACAGATTTTAGCCTAACTGTAAACCCCAAAACTCATACTCAATAGATTTTTTGCTACAACACAGAGCTCAATAGTTGAAGCTCATTCAAATAAGTTGCAGGATGGCAGAAGCATTGTTGAACTCATAATACACAATAATCCTGAGAGACAACAAGTGCCTTTTATTTTGCAAACTAATAAAATTATTAAATTTTATAGAAAACCACAACTCTCATCCGTTATCTCAGTAAAAATTTTGAATTTTTAAACACTCTCCAATTCATGCAATCTTGCATCACCATGCTACCCTTGAGTAGATAATGATTTTTGCACAATTACCGATTAGAAAGAGTAGAAAACCCCACTTTGCTATGTGTTATATGCCATCAAATCACATCGTATGAAGTTACAGCTGACATCTTCAAGTACAGGCTGTATGTCTCATCTGGATCTGATTGTATTCTGTTTGGAGAAACATAGTAATATTTGTTCTTGGCAAATGCAGTACTTTTCAAAAGTCAATCTGACCTATCTTGTGTAGTTCCACAAGCATATCACTAAAATGGCTAGAGGCATCCTTTTGTTGTCTACAGAGATTTGGCCTGAAGAAAAGAAAGGATTAACCGCCTGATAAATTCTTACCAGTTTTTTGCCTCTTTGGCTCGTTATTGTCAAAAAAACCTGGTGGAACCACAGATGAACCTACTTTGGGCAATTCTGTAGAGGCTTCAGGGTTAGAACCACGCAACTTTTGAGGTTCGGGTTTAGGTTTGGGCAACTCTACAGGGGAATCAGCTTTTACACTGTTAACTAGTGTTAGTCCAGCAGCATTAGCTTTGTCATTATTAATAACCTGTCCAAGTATAAGCATCAGAAAAAAGTTAATAGTCACTTAGACCAAACAAAGAGGGTTGTACATATTTGTGGCATAAATCTTTCCATGAAATACTGAAACATTCAAAGCAGTTTTCAAACTTTCGCAAGTACAAATTCTACACTGTCAAAGCACAAAGTGGAGATAAAATTTGAAAAAAAAATTTTTTTTGAAGAAAGTAACAGTATAAAAATATTGTGAAACTTCCTCTTCTTATGATCTTCCCAATATTATATATTGTTCCAAATAACAAGTTTGAAATTCTTAAAATTTGTTAAGTTGAGTTGAGGGTATTTTTGTATTTATCTTCTCAGTAGTATGAATATATGTCATAAGAAAGGATAACCTTAATTTTGATGGGTGACGCTCTTTTCTGCAGATTATTCTCTCCATGTCACTCTTCTTTTCTTTCTCTTCGCTATTATCTTCACCATACAATTCTAACTTTGGTATCAGAACCAAGAACACTTCTTGTTCTTCTTTTTCGTTTTTTTTTTCTTCCATCCAAAGATGTAAAAATATAATAATAAGAATTATTTATAAAAAAAAACTACCAGTATGATCTACTAGGGTAATCTCAAAAAAAATTTCAAAAAAAATCTCAATTTTTTTGAGTTTTCTTAGTCTTATTTTCCTATTTCTCAGGAGAGAGAGAGAGAGAGAGAGAGAGAGAGAGAGAGAGGTAGCCTTTTTTTTCGATCTATTGATCCAGACCTGCTTTGATCGGTTCCAAACTTGGGTCAGCCTCTATGCATACCAACTTGGTGTTTCTAGTCACTCATTGGCTTCGGTTTTTGGTTCTTGTTGGATTTTGATTCAACGGACACTCTATATTTCTTCTTGATTTCGAACCCTCTTGGATGTTTTTATGCTCTAAGGCTATGTATGCTGGGTATTGTCATTCTTTTGCAAAGATTCATTCTGATTGTGGAGTTTGTAGGCTCTTGAACCAGTTCATTGTGGTGGTGTATTATTCAACTTTGTATGTATGGTGGACGATGGTAAGATCCCTATGATAATCCTCTGGGTTAAGTCATGGGGGGACTCTTAGATATAACTTCCCCCTTTTCTTTTCTTTTCTTTTCTTTTTTTTAATTGGCATTGGGGTGTTTGAATCAAAGACTGACTAATCCCCAAGGGTGCACAAGCCCTCGGCAAAGAGTTATAACTCCCCTCTTCAAATTAATTATGTGAAGTTGGATGGAACCAATTATTTGGTTTCGTAGCATTCCTTTCATTTGGTCATTACTACTCATGGCATGACTGGTTATTGTTAGAATGTGTTAGGATATTTCCTATTTTATTCTTATTCAGTATCATTATTTGCTGTAATGGGCCTTTATTTAGGCCGTAACTCACTCCTATAATTATGTTTATGATTTAATATAAAAGAATATAGGATACCACTCATACCTTAACTTTTCTCTTCTCAAAACTCACATGGTATCAAAGCCACTCTAAAAATAAAGAAAAAAAAAAAAACCTAGCCACAAGCCTACAGTACCACCACTGCACCACCACCCTAGCCACAACAACCCCCTCCCCTAGGGCCCTGCCAGCACCAGGCGCCCCTTCCAAGGGCTCCGACAGCCCCAGTGGAAGCCACCTAGGGCTCCGACAGTCCTAGGCGCAGCCCCTAGGGCTTCAACAGCACCCTAGGGTTCGTCAAAGCCTTCCTTCTCCAACCCTGGTATGTCGGCTAGCTTGGAGACCCAGGGTATGCACTGACGTAATCCTGTCTGTCTTCGTTAACATCTTTATGTAACTCTTTCTTCTTCATCTCTGTCTGTCTTCGTAATACATCTTCATGTAACTCTTTCTTCTTAATCTCTCTCTGTCTGTCTTCGTAATACAAAAAAGAAAAAAAAATGTTCTCTTAAATTCGTTTTAAATTCATTGTTATGTTCTCCCATCTCTTATCATGGGCTGGTTGATACACTCCATGGTTCCGAATATTGGTGAGGGATACTTGTCTATGGACACAGCACAGGATATTATATTACCGCAAAGGCAATTTCTCACAAACGTTTGAGTTACGACGCTCCATTGACCGGTCCGTTCAGGGTGAGATAACTATCCTCCAGTATTTTACTTTCCTTAGCAATGGTTGGAAGAGAGTTAATCATCTTCAGGACTATAAGCCTATCTGTCCCACTAATTCTGCTGGTTACCAGAAATTTGTTGAACGAGTGCGGGTCTTCAAGTTTTTGGAAGGTTTGAATGTGGAGTTTGATCTTGTTTGAAATCGTGTGTTTGGTATGGATGTGCTTCTTTCTCTCCAAGAAGTGTTTGCTTATGTACAGAATGAAGAGAGTCGTCGTTCTGCTATGCTTCCGGCTGCCTCTTCTAATCAATCTGCCCTAGTTTCTGCCCTCTCTATAGATGGGGATCATGGTTCCCGTCTTCCTTTTGAGAACGATACCCTTTTCTGTGATTTTTGTCGTCGCCATCACCACACCCGTGAGACTTGTTGGAAGTTGCATGGGCAGCCATCTGGGGGTCATGGAGACCGTTCTGGTTCTCGAAGGGGTCGCTCCGGTCAGTCTCGAGGCCGAGGGCCCAATGCCCGAGCCCATCATTTTGATACAGTTGAGCCACAGTCCACAGCTCCAGTTGTTCCATATGCTGATATCTCTGGGTTTTTTACTTCTGAGTTGGAGGTTGCTCTTCGCCACTTGCTAGGGCATCCAGTTCATCTTCAGGTAACATTGCCCATTTAGGTAACTTAGCTTGTTCTACAAGTGCTTTCCTCTCTCATCAAACGTTGCCTTGGATTATCAATTCTGGTGCTTCTGACCACATGTTTGGGTCTTCTGATTTGTTCTCCACATATACCGCTTATTCAAGATAGGTTAAAGTTAAAATTGCTGATGGTACCATTTCTTCTGTGTCTGGGAAAGGTTTAATTCATGCCACTGCTTCTCTTCCTTTGTCTTCTGTACTACATGTTCCCAATTTTGGTGTTAATCTTTTATCTTTGAGTCATATTACTCGAGATTTAAATTGTAGTGTGACCTTTTTTCCTGATCATTGTCTATTTCAGGACCTTATCACGAGAAAAATGATTAGCAGTGGTAGAAACGAGAATGGTCTCTATATCCTAGATCAAGCAAACAAGCTGGCTCATTCATCCATTTAGTTCCCATCTACAAAAGAAGACATTTGGCTGTGGCACCGCCGTCTTGGGCATCCATCTTTTTTGTTACTTAAGCATCTTTTTCCCTCTGTTTTTTTGGAAAATAATGTTTTTGAGTTTCACTGTGAGTCGTGTCAACTTGGCAAACAACACAGAGCCTTTTGCTCCTTCTATTGATAAAACTTTAGTTCTTTTTTCTTTGTTTTTCTTTTTTTGCTCATTCATGTTTCAATTTCTGAGTTGAAACAACAAAAGCAACCTTGGGAAAAGTTTATGATTGCATCATGGCTGTCTAGATTAGATTCAAATTTGCAGGGCTTTAAAGATCATTTTCTTGCTAGTGAGCCTTTACCCACTACCTCTTCATTAGCATCTTCAACTTTAGTTTCTAGCAGTTGGGCCTAAGGCCGTTCTGTCCTATGATGTTGGGCCCAAGGTCGTTCTAAGTTATGATTTTGGGCCAAGGCCATTCGGAAGGAATTATGATTAAGACAAGCTCATAACTGGTTTAATTATAATCTTAATATGTTATGCTTAATCACGTGAATCTTACTACATTGCTATTATCCACTAAGCCTTACTCATTTTTATGTAGTGTGTTATGTAGGTGACCAATCCGGAGGACAACCATAGGTCAACCCCAGAAGCCCTTTTGCTAGATCTGTCTGGCCGAGTCTCCCATTGTGGCCTTTTGCTTTAGTTTGAGAAGATTTGCGTGGTAGCATATTTTTGTCAAATCCTCTGGATGATGGGTCTTATACTTAACTTTCAGTTTGTTAGCCATTTGTATAGACTTATACATGTAATGGATGCCTTGTCTTATATGAACATGTCGTGCATTTATGTATGATATGATATGTCAAGATCCTGACATTTAGGCACAGCTCAATGAATAACATTTTAATGTTATTGTTGCTTCCGTTCAGGCCCCAATAATGGATATAACTTAAGGAAACTTGGTTTTGAGGCCTAAGTTCAGGCCGGTCATGTCCAAACTTTTTAAGGGCAGGTTTGGGTCGTGACAGATACCATGTAAGTTTTCTGAATAATAATCTATATGTTCAAATTGTGTACTAATACAAAGAATACATCTAATTATACAGTAAACCTAACCCTAAAACTAAAAAGGAAACACTACCATATATATACACCTAAAACACTGCCATATATATACACCTATACAATCTCTCAGAAAAGGAAACACTGCCATATATATAAACCGAACCTAATATTCTCACAAAAGAGTCCTCAAACAAGAAGTTTCAGAACAACAAAAACAAAAACAAAAAAGCCCAAAACTAGGAATGGCAAATAGTAGCTCAATCCCTAAAAATCAAGAAAAATAGAGCTCCTCTAAAAGGCTTAGACACAAAAGCCCAAAGCGAAGTTGATCTTTGTGAGTCTCTTAAACAAATTTGGGATTCTCTTGCAGACTCTTTTTCACATCAAAGTAATGTTTCTCAAATATATGAGAATATTTTTTTCCTAATAAGCAATATCGACAACAGTTGTCTGGCTATTACAGCACTCTAAAAAAAATTGTGAGATCAGTTACCACAACATAGGCTTTTACCATTGAGTTGAAACAACAAAAGCAACCTTGGGAAAAGTTTATGATTGCATCATGGTTGTCTAGATTAGATTCAAATTTGCAGGGCTTTAAAGATCATTTTCTTGCTAGTGAGCCTTTACCCACTACCTCTTCATTAGCATCTTCAACTTTAGTTTCTAGCAGTTGGGCCTAAGGCCGTTCTGTCCTATGATGTTGGGCCCAAGGTCGTTCTAAGTTATGATTTTGGGCCAAGGCCATTCGGAAGGAATTATGATTAAGACAAGCTCATAA